GCATCGCAGTTTCCGTTTTGATCTGATTTGATCCATTCAATTACATAATCGAATCCCGACAAAAATATTGCCCAACGCTGTAATCTCCACACTGCCGTTTGTGGTATGCCTCTTTTCGGTCCAAAAATGAACTCGAGCGGTTTGTGATCGGTACGCAAAATTATTTTTTTCCCGTATACAAAACTGTAAAATTTGATAAACCCGAATACAATTTCTGCTGGCCCTTTTTGTGGAATGCTTTTTGACGCGAAAGCGATCGGTCGCTCGGTTCCGTCTTTGTACTTATGCGACAGTATAGCCGATAACCCGTAGTGTGACGCGTCGCATGCCAATATTATTTGTGGTTCGGGATCGTAATGAGCCAGGACCTTTGGCGAGATCATCTCATTTTTCCCCCACCAAAAAGCTTCATCGCATTCCTTGGTCCACTCGAATTTATCCTTGCGCGCGCAATCAAATAGAGGCTTTAATTTATCGGATGTATTTTCCAGAAATCTAGCGTAAAAATTTATCAGACCGAGGAATGAGCTGAGCTGTTTAGCGTCTTTAGGCTGAGGGGCTTCGTACATCGCGATGTCTTTCGACTTAGCTTTGTGTAGCCCATGTTTGTCGATAACATACCCGAGGACCTCGATGCTGTCTTTCATAAAATCGCACTTATCCTTGTTTAGGGCGTCTCTACATAAGAACGCGATCATCGGTCGCATCGCGTCGCTGCGTCGCGCGATTACAGTTGCCAACCTAAAAAAAAACAGTATTGTAGTGCTATATTCAGATAACCTGAATTGTCTGCAACTGACAAACACGTATCTTGGTCTCAGCTCTAGTTATTAATAATTAACTTTTATTTTATTATTTACAATAATTAACTATGGTTACCGTGGAAGACGTGATGGTACGCTTTTATGCAAAAAATCCGTACATGTTTTATAAAACCCATTCTGATAACCCATTCTGATAACAAGGATGCCAATAAAATTTTTGAGTTTTATTCAAGTCTCCAATATTATCTCTTTCGCCAATTGAAAGTGAATATTTCAAGTAAGTAATCTGTCTTGAACTTTATTGTATACATTTTTATTTTATTTTAATTCTAATTATATATTTCCTTTACAGTTCAAGAACTAAACTCCAAATGGGATTTTATGCTCCACACTTTTGGTACAATTCATTTTAAAAAATTGAATAATAAGAATACATGTATGTCGACTTATGAAGACTTGATGTACAAAAGGCTTTACTTTCTGAAAGATCACGTTAGCCCTCCGCAGAAGGTTCATGATAAGAACATGTATTTAAAAAAGTTCAGATTAACTTTACAAAATAGAAATGGTCAAGAAAATCCAGCCAAGAAACGAAAGCTTTATTGTACTATTTTAAATAAATCTCTAACATCAATCAAAAATGGTCGTGTAAGAAGAATAAGACTACTTGCAATGTTGGAAGCTTTCTCTACGTTTAAGAAGTCAAACAATTAATTGAGATTAGTAGTGAAAGTGAGTTAAAAAGTGCATGAGTTTTTAATGAATAAAAATGGTTAAAAAATTAAAACTATACTGTACTGTAATTTATTTTTTAAAAAAGCAATTAAACTCTTGAAATTGTTGTACTTTAGATCAAGTTTATTACTGAGAATTCATTACTTCTTGAAAATTTCACTTTTTTCTTGTAGAGATATAATTCTGCTTCTAATGATGAGTAATATTTTATTTTCAGTTTAATTTTTCAATGTTTCAAACATGTATAGGTTAAAAATGTATTTAACTGAGATTTTTTCCTGATTTTGACAACATTCATGATACGGTATATAATATGACAGTGTCTTAAAGCAATTCACACTAACTATAATTTTGATTAAATCTTCTCTTACTTTTTTCTAAACCTAAAAACCTCATGTGGTTTGTGAGAAAATTATAAATAAATATAAATCACAGATAATAAATAAATAACATAACTGAGTATAAACATTTATTTCTTTCAAAATGAACAGAAAATACTTGATCAGTGATGACGTTAATTATGCAATGAATATTAAAAGCAGTTAAAACATAATTATATGTTATGCTGGTTTTGTTGTTATTTTTAGTCACTTCTGTGAGTTTTCAAATTGCTCTTTAAAATTAGTAATATCTTTCAGCACATATTTTAAGCAATCAAGCTCTTTTCCTGGAGGTACCCTTTTAAAAGCTTCTAGAAGTATATCTGTATAGTCGAGAGCTTTATCGGCAGAAGATGGCATTGAAGCTTTTGAAGTGGTTGAAATACCCATAGAAGTCGAAATAACCTCATCGGATTTTGAGTAATTTTCTGCATAGTGTCGAGAAGATTCCTCATCTTTTGATTAATTCGGTCAACTGCTTTATTTTTAATCTTTTGTTTTTTATTCGAATAATCTGGTTTTGGGGCCATGAAAGCCTTTTTCTTGGTTTGCCCATTAGGCAGTTGAGATGTACCGGCTGAAAAAATAATAAATTTGAGAAAATTGTTATTGACTCGTTTAAACATTTTTTTATGAGATTTTACCATTGTTGTCGGGAACAGAATTTTTTTTCCAAGATGACTGTACAGGCTTTTGTTCGATATGAGGGATCATAAAGGCCAGTTCTTTCATGTATGGAAAAGTCACTTCAACTATACCATCGCTAGATTTGGTTTTCTTTTCAGCATTGTAGGCTTCTTTAAAGTTCTTCAACACGGTGTTCCAAATCTTTTGAACATCTTCACCTTAAAGAAAAGAACCGCAAAAGTCAGAATTAATGATAAGCATATTATGACTATAATTTCAAAAAAAATATAGTCAATGTTAAAATATATAATGATGGATTTAATGTTAAGTTATTTATTTACCTGTAAGTAAATCAGCATTTTTGTTGCAAGATTCATTAACATCGTTAATGTAATCAGCGATATCTTTAAATCCTTGTTTTTTCATAAAGGGGTCAAGATAATCATCTTCGTGTTTATCGTACATAAATGTCCTGACAAAAATACCACATATAATCGTCTCTATGTATTCTGACATTTTGAAAAAAGAACAAACACTTATAACGATCACACGTTGTAGGGTAAACAAACGTACTATGTGAAGTCCACACAGATACTGTACGGATAGAAAATCCACTAAAGCCGCTTGACAAATCTCAGCCAGTCCAAACCAATTTTTAAAGTCACGTGTTCGGAAAACCCAAGAGCCGAAAGTACTAGGCGCCTTTTATGAGTTTTGAGATCACCTCGATACCTGCTGAAACAAAGGAATCGTTGGTACAGATTCGTTTTCTGCGGCAGTCGTTGAGCACAGCAGTAGTTAAGCCCGATTTGCAGTGACATAAAAAATATTGTTCGTTAATAAAAATGAATCAACAAATAAGCGTCTTCATAATTAATTTACTCAATGATCCAAAAGAATTGGATAACTACGATTACATTTTCAACAAAAAAAGGACTAAACATGGAACAAACAACAATTCCTTTCACCGTCGAGTGATAGATACCGTCAAAGAAATTTATGGCGAGGAAGTTTCAAGTGTGTAATACTTAAACATTATTGTTTCTTTTTTTAAATTAAATTTTTGTAAAATTAAATTGTTTTTTTAGAACAAGATGTTTCTAAAACTTGGAAGGCGATGCGTGACAAGTTTGTAAAGATGAACAAGAGACTACGTAAAGGTCTAACCCCAACCAAACATGAATTTTATAAAAATTTAATTTTCCTTGAGGAGCACATAGTACACACCAATGGATTGAAAGTTGTCGAGTACGGGAAAATTTATGGCACCGAAGAAGATGTAAGCTCTACTCGTCAAGAAGACATTGAATTTTTGGCAGCCGTTGGGGTCGACATGTACATTAGAATATACCCAAACAACTATAATGAATATGAAAATTATTTAGATGATTTTCCTGATGCTACTCAGCTTTTCCGAGATACTCCAAGAAAAGATTCTGAGCATGGAGAACCCTGCATCGAATTTCTGGATGATGATGAACCATAAGTGATAGCTTACATGAAAAATAACAAAAAGGTAACTTTTTATGCAGTTAAGTTATTTACATTCATACATAAATGTTAATCTCTAATTAATATGCCTAATTTTACAAACAGGCGATGAACCAATGGCCAAAGGAATACCGACTGCTAAAATTGTAAGTGTTCATGAGGTTTAGATATTCACATTCATACATAAATGTTAGTCTCTGATTAATTTGTCCAATTTTACAGATAGCTGTCGATGAACCAATGGCCAAAGGAATGCCGACTGCTAAAATTGTAAGTGTTCATGAAGTTTAGATATTCACACTCATACATAAATGTTAGTCTATGATTAATTTGTTCAATTTAACAGAGAGCTCGCGATGAACAAATAACCAAAGGAATACCGACTGCTAAAATTGTAAGTGTTCATGAAGTTTAGATATTCACACTCATACATAAATGTTAGTCTCTGATTGATTTGTCCAATTTTACAGAGAGCTGTTGATGAACCAATGGCCAAAGTAATGCCGACTGCTAAATTTGTAAGTTCTTATGGAGTATAGCTATTTACATTCATTCATATGTAAAATAAGTAATTCATTAATTTGTGTAATTTTACAGACTGGTGAGAAGCAAAAGGATAGTATAGGTAATGCAGGAGGAACCGAGTTTAATCAAAGAATGGTCTGCAGAATTTTAAATGAAGCGATTGTCGACCAGATTACTGTGGACAACCAAGTTTTGATCCTAGTCCTTTTACTTGTCTTGATTGAACAATTTAAAGTCAACAATAATTAATTATGTTCCATTTTGTTCAATAAATATAAATATTCTAGCATGTTCTATTATGTTCCATTATGTTCAATAAAAATAATAAAAATAAAGAACTTTTTTTTCCAAATCCAACTGTATTTACTCAAGTGTAACATTAATTTTACATTCCCAATTTCACATTTTTTAATTTTTTAATTTATAGTTTTATACTTCTTTTCTATCAAATAGAATTTAATATATATAATCTACCTTTTTACAAATGCTCCCACTGCCATGGTACAGATCCTGCTGGCAAGAGAAAGTACTGTGATAAACTATTTCTAACGTGGTTGGCATTGAATTGTAAATCAACTGCTTCTTGTTGCTCAACGTTTTCCATATATCCATTGGGAGCATCAATCCAATGATAAATGAAGCCTCTATACTCTTGGAAGTCCATTGTTATCGAATAGTTATGCAAACAAATTGTAGAAATGATGATATCTTCAGTCGTGCTTAAAGCCCAACCCAGTTCTTGATGATTGACAGCACACCTGTTCCTTAGTGTCGCAAAAGCACACTCAATTTTTTGCCTGATATGACTCAATCGGAAGTTGAAAATATTCATTGCTGGAGTCATATTAGCAATTTTCATGAATGGTTTGATTAAGTACGTTTGCAACGGAAAGCCACCATCTCCTATTAGATAATATGGTGTCATAATATTTGAATTTAGGTAACAGTTCTGGAATAGGGATGGCTTGATTATCTTGCAACATTTCACAAATATCACTGTTGTTGAAGGTAAACGCATCATTGAAGGAACCTGAAATAATTGGTAAGGATTGGCTATAAATAGTGTGTTTGATGTATAAATAATACAATTATAATTAAGAATGATATTCACCATATCCTCCCAAATTAAACATCAAGAACCGTTGATGAACATCACAGATGGTCATCATATTCAGGCTAAAAATTTTTTTATAATTGTAATAAGCATTTCCTGAGTGCTTAGGTTGTCGAATTGGATAATGTCTTCCATCAATGGTTCCTATACAGTGGGGAAAGTGTAATACTTGTACAAATTCTTCAGCCACTCTCTTGAAATCAGCTGATGAAGGCTGGCGTACATATCTTGGTACAAGTTGTTGATATATGATTTTGCACACCTCAGGTACAATGGCATACATTGTTGACTCTCTAATTGAAGTGAACCAAGCATTTTTTAATTGGCTGTCACCTTTAGCGAGATAGCTGTTAAATAAATAAAGAGTAATTTTTACAAACAGCTCATAATCATGACAATAAGTGGATATAATGTATGTACTTACTTTAAAACAGATGCAAATCGGAGTTGAGCAGGTAAAGGTGGTCTTCTACTTCTTTTAACAAGAAACGGTTTCAAAATTTCAAAAACAAAATTAAACTGATGAATTGTCAGGTTCGTAAATCTATAAAACTCTTTTTCGTTGTTCAATTTGAAGAAAAGGAATACTGTTAAGTAAAAAAAGAATGACACACAGTGATTGAAAAGAGAACTAAATTTATTACTAATAATTATGAGTGCATGTTGCCTTGATGGCCAAAGAGCAAGTGCGAGCTTGCTCCTTATGCTTAAGAGTGAGAGGTAAACATTGCTCTCTCGCCCGTGTGGCACGGGTCAATTACCTTGTGCTGTATACGCATATTTATTTACGTATTCCAACACGCCACCTTAAATTTATACTTCGTATACAGTGTACATATTGTTAATTTTTTTTCTCATATTTTAATTAAACTATTGGCACTTTATTGTGACTACACTAATCTTACATTTCTTTACTTACTATCTTATATTTTATATTATATTATGTTTAACATATCTCTAAGTTTATAATGCTTTTCTTTGCCCAGGGCTTTTGTAAATATGTCGGCGACATTTTCATTCGTATTCACTTTGCACACTTCGATTTCTTTGTTTATTACGGACTCATGTACAAAGTGGTAGTGTATTTCAATGTGCTTAGAATTTTTAGTTAGATTTCCATTTTTTGCTATATCTATAGCCCCGACATTATCTTCGTAAATTTTTATTGGTTTTTCTAATTTTATATTTAACTTAGTTACTAGTTCTTTTACAAATTTTACTTCACTGACTGCTTCGGATAATGCAACGTACTCTGCAAATGTTGATGCTTTCGTGACGCATTTTTGTTTATGCGACTTCCAATATATAGGATTTCCGAATAATCTTATCACATATCCCGTGGTGGATTTTCTATCGTTGCAATCACCGGCCCAGTCAGCGTCTACATAGCAATCAATTATTTCGCTTTGGTCGCCCTGCTTGTACACTAAGTTCAAGTCTTTTGTCTTATATAAATATTTCAATACTCTAAGTGCATATTTCCAATGACTTTCTGTGTAGCAGTTTTGAAATCTGCTCAAATAATTGACACTATAGCTTATATCTGGTCGTGTACTTGAACTTATGAAAAGCATAGCTCCAATGAGGTTTCTATATTTATAGTTCATCTCGTCTGGCTCATTATTTTCGAGCTTTAAATTTATTTCCATAGGCGTGTTATACAGTTTACTCTCGGTTATTTGATATAAGTTAGACAATGTTTCGATATACTTATTTTGATTAAGTGTTGAGGTTTTATTTTCATGCGTTATTTTTAAGCCTAGATATTCATCGACATAACCGAGATCTTTCATCCTATATCTTTTGGCTAATAACTCCCTTATGTGTGTTACTTTTTTTTCGTCTTCCTTACTACCGCATATCAACATATCGTCGACATATATCAGGAGATAAATTTTTTCGTTACCTTTGTACACGTATAAGCAATTATCTATTTCACAGTTTACAAATCCGATTTTAATTAAAAATTCGTGTAGACATTCATACCACGCACGTGGGCTTTCGCGCAGCCCATACAATGCTTTCAGTAGCTTACACACTTTGTTCGTACCATCCGCGTATCCTTTCGGCTGTTTTACATATACTTCCGATTTTACCGTTCCGTTCAGGAACGCGGCTTCGACGTCCATTTGTCGAATATTCAATTCATATTGACAGCAGTAAGCTAGCAACGTTTTGAGAGTTTGGATTTTTGCTACGGGGGCGTACAGGTCGTTGAGTTGCTCTTTTTGTTGAAACCCTCGGACTACTAGTCGCGCTTTGTATTTTCCGCCTGTTTTCCTACTGTACACCCATTTTACATCTATCACTTGTTTGTCCTCATTTTTTTCAACTAATTTCCAAGTTTTATTTTTATTTAGTACCTCAATTTCCCTATCCATCGCCTTGGCCCATTCATTCTTTTCCGCGCTATTCATCGCCTCCTCAAATGTTTGCGGATTTTCAAGTCTTCACACATTTGCAATTATTGTACTAGTTGCATCGAGTTTTGGGTATCGTTTGGGGCTTCTTTTCATTCTCGTTGACCTACGGAGTTCGTTTTGACTATTTATTTTTTCCTCCTTTCTGTTTTCTTTTTCACTCTCTTCGTTGTTACTAAAATATTCACTATCCTCTGATTCTGTTTTGTTGCTATCGCTATCGCTCGACCCTTCGCTACCGGGTTCAAAGATACTGCCAATGCATTTTGTGTCTTTTTCAATTATTTCTACATTTCGACTTACAACTATTTTATTGTGGAGAAGAACTCTGTAGCCTACCTCGCTGTACCCCAATAGTACGCCCATTTCTGCCTTCTTATCAAACTTTGTTTCCCTGCTTTGTTCCGGCGTCCGAACGAATACTTTACTCCCGTATAATTTTAAATGTTCAACATTTGGCTTTTTATTAAAGAATAACTCAAATGGAGTCTTAATTTCGACTGTATTCGCTAGTGTTCTATTTTTTAAGTACGTAGCTGCGCATACTATTTCCGGCCAGAATCTTTTATGTACACCGGCTTCTGCTAACAGACACCTTGCATTATTTATAATCGTTCGGTTAAACCTTTCCGCGGTTCCATTGAGTTCGTGGGCGTATGGTGGACAATTGTTTATTTTTATTCCTTTTTCGCGCGCGAATTTAAATACTTTTTTATTGATATATTCTGTACCATTGTCACACCTGATAACTTTTACTTTTTTTTCAATTGCATTTTCGCACGTGTTTACATACTCTATCAAGCATTCAAGGACTTCATCTTTCGTTTTAATACAGTATACTCGCGCCAATTTACTGTAGTCGTCTATGAACGACACGAAATATTTTTCTCCACGAAATCCTAATGTTTTGAACGGACCACACACATCCGTGTGTACAATTTCCAATGCTCGCATAGCTTTCGTTCTCTGATTTTTATAAGGCAGATTGTGCATTTTATTTTCTATACATATTTGGCATTTCAAATGTTCGTTTTTCCAGTTGCTCGGAATTCCTTGTAAAAGTTGCTTTTTGCTTAGTGTATTTAAGTAATTAAAGTTTACGTGCCCCAGCATTCTATGCCATTTTTCTTTAACACTTATTTGACTCTCATTACATTCAGCGTAATTTGTACTATTTTCATTTTTTGTCTTTAGAAAACACTTTGTTACATCCCCAATACAGGGCTGAACGTACCATATTATTTGTCTAGTTTTTAACGTCCATCGGATACATCCGAATGGAAAGAAATGGATATACAATGTTTACAATTTGTTTTAAATTTTTTTATTAGCTTACTTATACAATGGTAGGTGTTCGGATGCCGCTGCTTATCTATTCTTACACACAACTATTCTCACAAATTGTTTGACACTCACTCGACAATTTCTTTATTGATCGTTCACGATTTACTGTACTGGCGGATTGAAATAACTGCTTTGACTTAACTTAATTTAATGAATTACTTTCCCGAACTGATATCTCTGACCCATCCTCAACTGCATTTATATACCCGCTCAGTTCCGGATCCGTTTCCGGATTTTCCTTATTGTTACCCTGAGAAATTCCGCTAAGTCGCAATAACATATTTTTTCCTCGTTTGAAAGTCGCGCGTGGCCCAGCTGTTACCATCCGGGTGTCATAAACCGATTTCTTACATATGTTACCAGCGCGTCGTCTCGGTGACCGATCTGACTTTCCTTATTTTTTACAAAATTTGCCAAAACATGTTTTTAACGTTATAAACCGAATTCATTTTAGCGCGTGTTAGCGGGCCATGTGCAGTTAGTTGTTATTGAGGCGCGATCGGGAGTTTCCGATATCTCGCGGGTACGTCACAGAGTCATAAACCGTTATCTCACGAGTACGTCACAGAGTCAACCGTTATCTCACGAGTACGTCACAGAGTCATAAACCGTTATCTCACGAGTACGTCACTTTTTGATCTTATCATCTCTTATCATATCAGTTATCGTGACGTCACTTTTATCATTTCGCGGTGACGTTACAACTTCATCTCGTATACATTATTTACTTTGTATGCTATTGCCGTCACATTACCCGATTTATTCATTATTTTTGCAACCTTTCCTTTCGATACAATTAAACATTTTTCCGTAATTTTTCCGTAGCTCAACAAATTTCTATTCATATTTTGTGCATAATACACATTGTTAATAGTTACTTCGTTTTTTATGCCAAATACTTCAAAATAGCACACTATACTTCCTATTTTTGTGGCTTTTACATTTCTATCATCTCCTAGATGTATTTTTAATGGCTCAGATAATATTTTACTTTCATAAAAATATTTTTCGCTATTTACAATATGATCAGTGCTCCCGCTATCTAAGTTCCAGTCGATTTCATTGTTTACCTTATTCATCTCGTATACTTGCTCGTTACGTGTCATAGCCATCCATGCTGCTGTGTGTGATTGTGACTTTGGCTCGTTCGCGTCTCTATCTTGTCTGCTTTGATGCCGGAATTTCCCTCTCCCTTTGCCGTAGCTGCCTCTGTAGCTCCTGCCGTTGCCTCTGCCCCGCGACGTGCCTTGCCCTGCGCTGTGCTGTGCTCCTTGGTTCGATGACCCTTGCTCTCCGGACTGGCACTGCCGGGCCATATGACCAGTTTTTCCGCATGTGTAACAATTTCCATTAAAACCTCGTTTTGCCACAAATACATTTGAGCTATTGCCTGTTCCTTCTTCTTGTTGGTCCTTCATCTCAGCAATTTGTATTTTATTTTTCACGTAGCTTGCCGTCTGATCTTCTGGTTTTAATGTATCGATCAGATCTCCGATGTAGCTGTATTGGTTTGGCAACG